GGAAGGCAGCCTTAGAATTTAATGCATGCGCCAACCCAGCCAAAAAGGAAAAAAAAGAAGAAGCTTAGCCCAGCGGTTCCCAAACCTGGCAACTTTAAGACTTGTGGACTTCAACTCCCAGAATTCTCCAGCCAGCAGAGTTGAAGTCCACAAGTCTTAAAGTTGCCAGGTTTGGGAACCACTGACCTAGCCAATCATCTTGGCACTGATACTTGCTTATGGTCCAGCTGTAGTAGGTGGCCAAGGGGAGAGCTTTGGTTTGCTGTTAGGTTTGCTTTGATTCTATAGGGCTAGGACTGAGCAGCCCACTTCCTTCCCTTACTAACACATGGCTTCATAAAGAAACAAAGGGAGTTAAATTGCTAACTCTAATTAATATATTATGCTTGGCTTCATCAAATAATCCAAACTGTTTCATTAGAGACACCAGGAGTGCTGGAGATGCCACTGGCAAGTTCTATTGAGATCAAACCACAGGCTTCTTCATAGAGAAAATAGAGAGTATGCAGCATGCATGAGGCACCTGCTTCCTGGGCAGTGCATTTCTTATCGCTGCCTTAATGTTGCAAGAACGTTTTGGTTTATTTCTTTCCCTTCGATTGAAGCAGCCAGGGAAGTGAGAGGATGAAAATAAATGTTATGGCTTGCCTGAAAAGTGGGAAATGTATTATTGATCCAGGAGCTGCAACCCATTCTATTCAAGTGTAAACTGCACATTTCAATCTGTGACTAATTCCTTTATGCACATCATTTTCTCTTTATTCAAAGCACTGGACTTCCTAGTCCTTAGCTAGTTATATTTTCTTCTCTTCTTGCAGCTTCACCACGTTCCTCTGCTTCTTTCTTACGTATAATTTAATGAATACATTTTGACTGGCTAGGCTGCCGTTTTCTTTGGCAGACTGTACTGTGTTGTCTCTTTCTATTTGTCACTTGTGCCATGCCTATAAATACCCAGCTCTGACAGTCCTTGTTCTACTCTGGATTGAATCTATCTACTGCATCTGTTGGGTTCCTTGTATGTTTTTGAAAAGGAATTTCCATTTCCCACCTACCATGCCTGCCTAACATTGATTGGTCATCTTGGTATCTTTTGTCAATGGCCTTGGTTATATCAGCCTCACTTGTAGCAACAGTTTGTCTTATCCTCCTGCTGGTCCTCAGAACAATTATAGTTTGGTATCTGTTTTGGACAAAATAGCAGATTTTTGTCCAAATAGGTCTTGGAAGTTACAAATCCAATCAACTCCGAGCTGGATTTCTTATACATATGCTAAAGGAAATGTCTGTTTTTAAAGAATTAAAAAAAGTAAATTAGGATTGTGACTCTTTAAATCCTGTTAAGATTGAAGCCTGGAGCTGAAGGGCTCGTGAGAGTGATTTGCCAGGATAATTGCAGCTTTCTTCTAAAAAGCTTCTTCTGTCTTCCTTAATCACATGCTTTGATGGTGGTTGTGATTTTTATGCTACAGGGAAAGCAAGGAAGGCAGAAGACGGACTACTTGTCAACAACATAGAAAGGAATCTCCAATGACAGCACAGTTGTGATAAATAATTTTTTTTGTTTGGGATCATAGCAACTAAAGAAGCTTGATACCTCTGTCTGGCTCAGGACCTGGAAGGGCTGCTTCTTCTGATCCCGTGTCCAGAGAACTGACTCTGGATATTCAATCTCATTGCATAAAAGAGAAAGATTGCCAGATTTGATCCAGGAAAAGGGGAAGCCTATGGAAGGGGACAGAAGAAGCACATTTGTTCCTCAGTTATTTATCTCTTGTAAAACTATAGATGCTAAATCTGAAATCAGTCCATGTCTTGATTTTACTTGCAGCTGCGTAGGGATCCTATTGCATTCTGAAGGCACTGAGTAGACATCCCCATTTTATATGTCTGCTTTAAACCTATAAAATAGGCTAATGAAAGATATTTATTTTCCACTAAGAAATCCATCTTTCTGCTTGCCAGATGCAGATCTTGACTCGATACAAACTGAGATATGACTTATGGCGCCAGTCTAGAGTTCAGCAACAGCCTTTGTCCTTAAAAGCAGATATTAGAGTGATCATTGCCATCACCACATTCTGCCCTTCTGTCCTTGGGAATCAAAGAAGCACCAAAGCATTAATAAGTTATCTGGAGAGTTTGCATTAGTCCTAGAAATGTTGCACAGAAAAATACTTTGTTTTATATTCTGAGAGATACTAAAAGAAGGTCATTGATCTGGAAAGTTGCCTTGCTTGAGAAGAATATATCACCTGGTGCAGTAGGGAGCAGATGAGTCTCAATCCTCCATTCAGTTAAAATGAGTGAATCCCACTTAAATGAGAATTATAGCACACTGCTAGACATATCTGCTCAGAAGTAAAACCAAATGAACTTGTTGAAGGTTACTCCAAAGTAAAGTGGCACAGAGCAGCAGTGATGAACAAGCTATAAACTATAAAAATCTCAGCCACCCCCACACACTGTAAGTAATTTCAAATATTACCATTATAAAACTTTCAACTGTGTGAAATAACTGGTGCTTATATCACAACCCAGGCTCTTCAGGGCTGAAAGTAATAGGAATGGATGGAGCCTAGAAAGTAACTTCTGTCTGGAGATCACTGACCTTTGATCTTTATTGTTTATTTATTTATTGGATGTCTGTGCCACCCATCTCACTAATACGGTGACTCTGGGCAGTTTACAATATAATAAAAGTTATAAAGTGCAAAAAAAACCAATTAAAGTACAACAGAAATTTAAAAATTAAAAACCAAGATGAATGGGAGCCTGGGGGTGAGAATCCTCTCTATCCCATCAGACACCCCCAATTTAATGGGGTCCTGAAAACTGGCAAGCAGTGCAGTTTGTGTAACAGTGATATCACATGCAGAAACTCTATACTTAGGTTTATATGGGAAGTACCAAGGAAGAATTTAATAAACATTTTAAGCATGTTTTTGGAGTCACATCATAAAGATGGAACTACACATATTACTAAGAAAAATACTTATATGAGATGAAGTGGTAAGTACAGGTCAAATATGGTGAGAAGGTGCTTAAACCTTATTTTGTATGCCATTCTTCCTTGCAAAAACAATGTGAGTCAATTGTAATTTATATCTGTTTCCCCTACCCCTCAAGTTTGGCTCTGAAATGTTGGTTGTATTGACAGCAGAATTGATGATATAGGCAAGATCTCTTGACTTCCTTTTGTTAATGCAACTCACTGAAGGGGTATATCTACCTGCAAGTAATCTGTTCCTCAAACTCTGGAATATTGTTGCCTGTCACAATAAATGAACACTAGCTGTGCCCAATACAGATATGTTGGAGTACACCCTCCATTGTTTGCAACATGAGTCATTGACTAGGAATCACAGTCCAAGCATCTGGAGAGTATTAATCCAGATGTTCTTATGCACATACCATTGAAAAATAAATATTTATCATTATAAAGATTTATCATTATTGATAAATAATGCTGGTGTTTAAAGTACTTCTGTTTCGTGCCATTTTTTAAAATGAAAGATTATTGGAAATGTGTGAAGGCAAAATATTGTTCTGTTCTAAGTTTCAATCATGATCTTAGTCAACTGTAGTCTGATATAATAGAAATAGTAAGGGATAAAACTCAAAGTGTAGAGGCAACCCAGCATTGAAACAATGAGGTCTCTTTTCATACTATTTTTAGTTATTGATCTTAACTACCTACCTCCATATTTTTTCCTTTTTTATCTTTTCTTTTTCAGCATAGCTACAGAGAAGTGGGAATTCTTCTCCTATACTTGGCTGTTGGGGTGTGTGTCTTCTCTGGAGTAGCCTACACTGCAGAAAAGGAGGAAGATGTTGGCTTTGACACTATTCCCGCTTGCTGGTGGTGGGGCACAGTTAGCATGACAACTGTAGGTTATGGGGACGTGGTACCAGTGACTGTCGCCGGCAAGCTAGCAGCTTCTGGTTGCATCCTGGGTGGGATTTTGGTTGTGGCACTGCCTATCACTATCATCTTCAATAAGTTCTCCCATTTCTATCGCCGGCAAAAGGCCCTTGAAGCTGCTGTGCGGAACAGCGACAAGAAGAAACCAGAGGACTCTGAGAATTACCCAAGTCAAGAATCTGATGCTTTCAGTGAAGTTTACCAGAGAGATGAAGATCTCACCAGGAACATCCTTCCACTGATTGATTGGGAATTGAAGACTTAATGTATTTGGTGTCAGAAAAAAGGCAAATTGGTAGCAAGATGATCAACAAAACCCTACACCATTATGGATTTATTCATTACAAGTGATCTGCTCCAAAAGCATGTATGAAGTAACCTCTTCCTGAGCCATTGCAGAATACGCACTGACCTTACACATCTGGATTTTCAGCATTCTTCTAAGCCAGTATACATTATAACTAATTCAAATCTCAGTCTGCCAAGAGACATCTGGAGCAAAATGGACAAAATAGTTTAAGATTCCATCTGTTTTCCATTCCTTCACTGCAACAAAAGGAAGTAGATTCATCCACACAAGCTTTTCTGTCTGAGTATTGTGCTGGCAATAATAGTCCTAGCATCCCAATTCCCACAGTGTAATTTACAGGCAGACATCCAAGTACCTGGATTGGGCTGGAAACTCAAGTATGGAATCTAATAAATATGCAAATTATACTTTTAAAACATAGCTTTATTTCAGCTGACATTCAGTAGCTGCAGCTAATCTTCACCACATATCATGAGTCTTCATGCAACCAAATATTTTCATACTGAATGTTAATTTTTCATATTCAGTATTGTTTTCTACCCCAGACATTTCAATGTTCCGATTCATAATTTATCTTCAAAGATTGCCAAAGAAATGAAATACTGATTGTAAAGTTATAACAAATATTGTTTGTGGCTTCCACAGAACTGAAATTGTGAAAGAACTTCTAACTTGCCTTATAAATGTTTGTCTGATGGAAACCATGGAAGCTACCAGCATAACCTAGAAAGGTTTTTAATTAATTCAATGATGATAGAAGATAAATAGGAGAGATTGTAATGACTGATGTGCTGAAGAGGAATTGGAGCATAAGTCATGATCATGCTACATAATTCTCTATGGCTGATTTTGCACTCCCAACTCTTAACAAATCTATGCATGATGTATAGGATGGTATAAATATTTTCCTTCCCTTTCCTGCTCTCCCATTTCCCTCTCCACACCTTGTTCTCATTGCCATCCAATAAAATTCTTTGATGGTAATCTCAGGGTACAGATTAAAAGGATGTACTTTTTCTATTACGATGCACTAATTTGGGGATGGGATGCTACTAAAAGTGCACTCATAGTGATTGGAAAAGAAGTAAAGTGCTGACAAATCCATATAGCAAGATAGATTTATCTGTATTATGATTTACTATGAGCTTCCTGGAAATAGTTGATTGCCTACTATGAGGAAAAATATGCTGAATGACAAGAGCCTTTAGTTTGATCTAACTGGTCTTGTATCCCTTATTATTATAGTCATGTAGAGTAAGAATGGAAGATACTGATCATCCCAACACCTCTTATGTTAGGAATGGACAACTGGACCTCCCAGATGTTACTGGATTCCAATTCATTCTACTTCATCAGGATAATACTGGCATTTGTTACCTAATATTTAGAAGGACATAATTTCTGCATTTTTGTAATCTGTCATCTCCACCTATGTATATTCCTGTTTATAACTTGATTGTTATTCTACACAGAATAAGATAACTTGATAAGTCTCAGTGGGTGTCACCACTGTCCAGCTTGTCTGGGTTCAAAAGCTAAGCAGAATCAGGCCTGTTAGTACTTGATTGGGAGACACTTCCAGGCATCCCAGGCCTCTAGACCAAACTAGGCAGACTACACAGGATAGATAAAGAAATACACAGATTTCCTGGAAAAAAGTAATAACACATCCTTTCATTACTATTACCAAAATGATTAGATGGACTCGCCCATGTATTCACCAGGAACTAAGTGATGGTGCTGCCTTTCCTTAAGGAAATACATTTAGTTCATCACTGGAGATATTAAAACTTCCAGTACTCATTATTTATACTGGAAATTTCCTGCTTGGGAAAAAGGTGGGGGAGGAAGGAAGTTCTAGTTTCTTCCCTGGGCATTCAATGGAAGTGGGAGAGATGTCAGAAGTGAGGTAGACTGCACTTTGGAGACATCAAAGTCAAGATATCCATAGACACCTTTTGGCTATCCGGTATTTATTAATTGCAAAAATGTTATCCTGTTACCAGTGAAAATGTCTCCAAAATTCATATTTGTTTTCCAACAATTTTCAAAGTGAACACTTGTCTAAAATTGAATATTTATATAAAAATATGCACAAATATGCACAAGGAGGGAGAGAGGGAGGGAAGGAAACGAAGGAAAGTTGTTACTGTGAGTTATAAAGTCCTACAGTCAACCCTTTGCAATAATCTTAAAATAGATTAGAGGGTATATGCTAATTTAATGAATTTAAACTATGTCAATGTGATGGATGGGGAAAACGTTTCAATTTCACTAAAGGTAATTAGATGAAAGATGTTTGGTTTCTCTTCACAAATATGAGTCCTAGAGTTATGTAATTGTTTACTGATCAAAGTAGAAAGTATTTTCTCCATTTGTAATTGCTACGTGCTGCATATTGCCCACTGAAAATAAGTGTTTTCATTTCTGTTCAGATATTTCATATTTTGCCCCTCTGACAAGACGTTCAAATATGTACCCTGCATATTTTCTATCTCCTTTGTATGTCCCTATGGATTGATTTTTTTTATTACATTTATGTAACCTCCCCCTCACCTCACAAAAAGTAACCCTGAGCAGCATAACAGAATGAAATAAAACAAATGCATAAAAGCCATCATTCAAAATAGCAATAACAATAGCAATAGCATTTAGACTTCTATACCGCTTCCCAGTGCTTTACAGTCCTCTGTAAGCTGTTTACAGAATCAGCATATTGCTCCCCACAATCTGGGTTCTCATTTTACCAAGTTTGGAAGGATGAGTCAGCCTTGAGCCTGGTGAGATTCGATCTGCCAAATTGCAGGCAGCCAGCAGTCAACAAACTTAGCCTGCAGTACTGCGTTTTAACCACTGTGCCACCTCAGCTCTTATAAAATGTAAGACAGTCATTAATTTAAACATACATAAACTGCCAGGCTCAGAAAAGAGTAGATATTAATAATGATGGAGCCATCTTAAAATTTCAGACTCTTCTAGGATCCTCAGGCCTGCTAACACACCATGGACATGATTCATGAAAAATTTAGTTTCCTGCTAGCCTGAGGTGGCAAATTGAGGCCTGAGCATTAAAATTGACATACAGGTTAGTCCTTGACTTATGACCGTTCATTTAGCAATCATTCAAACTTAAGATGGCAGTAAAAAAAAGTGACTTACAAGCCAGTCATACTTACGACCAGTGAAACATCCCCACAGTCACATGATCAAAATTTGAATGCTCGGCAACGCATGAATATATGTTGCAGTATTGTGGGTCACACAATTGCCATCCCAGAGAGCTTCCAACAAGCAAAGTCAATGGGTAAAGCCAAACTTGCTTAACAACCACAATGTTTCATTTAATGGCTGCAGCAAAAAGATTGTAAAATTGGGTGGAACTCAGTGACTGCATCACTTAGTGATCAAAGTTCTGGACTCAATTGCGGTTGTAAATTAAGGACTACCTGTATCACAGATAAAAGTAAAAAAACAACAACCTGCACATAATTTTTTCTTCAAACTACCATCATCTGTACATACCACATGCCTTCTCCCTGTGGCTTTCTATCTCATTGCCTGCCAAAAGATGGCCTCTCCCAATCTCAATAATTAGAAATGGAAGAGCCATATGGTAGCCTCCTACTTATTAGTAGCTTACATTTGGATGTTTTGCTCTGATGTCTCATTCTGGATATGGTTAATATTCTGCCTTTAATAGCTACAGTATATGGCAGAGAGAATTTAGAGTAACTGAGTATAATAGTTTGAGAGGAGAAAGCTTGTCAGGAAAGATATTCTCAAAGAGTTAAGTCTTTTAGAGTCTTACAGAAAACAGAAGTCATATATGTCTTGAAACACTGAACAATTTTGGTGCAGTATATTTTGAGTTACAAATCATCCTCAAATTACAACTGGTTGCTAAGAAATTACAGCCAATGCAGTTTTTCACTGGGTGCCATATTGGTTCAAAAATAGTTGTATAAATGTGTGGAATACCTTAGGAAAAGGAATTCAGCAAGAAAATTAAATCAGTCTGTTGGCAGGTAAGTTTTCTGTTTCAGTCTCACTGCTTTGTAATATATCAGTTTTTGTTTTTGTTTTCATATTTGATCCATCTGTGTCTCAGCCACAATATTTGCAGCAAAATCATCTTTCAACACATTTTTAATTTAGAATTAGTCATTATTTAATTCAATATATTTAAGTAGAGGAAAGCTGTTGTTTAACAATGTTAAGAGGAACAGATTAAACTCTTATGAGAAATGCCAGAAACAAAATCAATGTTAAATTGTTACGACCCAGGTTGCCTAGGGCTAGACAGATACAGGCTTCAATAAAGTCCTTTATCCCACAACAAATGGCCCTATAATGGCTAGTAAAGACAATGTAACACAGTCCCACAAATTGAAGCCAATAGTCACCAGAGCTGCTTCAGAAGGCAAGGAGGAAGTCCATAGTCCAAAAACAAGACACAACATCCACAAGGCAAGGTGTGTAAGTCATAAACACGGTTCAAGGTCAAGCAAAATCAGAGACCCACAGGACAGAAACATGATCTGAAGGTTGGGCAAGAGCAAGCCAAAACAAAACAATGGTTCCCAAATGAAGTCACCCTCCCCCAGCCTGATTAAATCAGCTCAAGCCAGATGTTCCTTGGTGTTGATGTTCCTCACCAACAGCCTCACAGACCTCTGACCTTCCCTCTGCTATTCTCTCTGTGCCCTTGGATCAATTGGGGAAGAGAGCTGATCCTCATCAAGGGTGATCTGCCTGTCATCACCACTGCCTGTCTGCAGTCAATCTTCCCTTGTGTTTGTGAAGCTGCCCTTCCAGTTGACCATCTCCCCCAATGCTGGAGGGCCCTGGGACAGCATCGTCTTCAGCCCCTGGACTCTTTTAGACATTAGGGGAGATGTGCCATCCCCATTGGATGAACTCCAACTCCTCCATATCAAGATCCAATGGGGCCATGACAGAAACCTTTGTCAGGGAAAAAGTCTTTAGTTAAAGATACACAAGAGTAGGCTGGATAGAGTTGCCAAGGATAAACCCATGTGAGGAATTACACTTGGAGTTACACAAAGAGGTGTGGTAGTAGAGTGGTTAGAATGCAGTATTGCAGGCTAATTCTCCTGACTGCCAGCAGTTTGATCCTGATATGAGCCAGCAGTGTTCAGCAGCTGCCAAAAAAGCCAAGACAGTTCTAGGCTGCATAAACAGGGGGATAGAATCAAGATCACGTGAAGTGTTAATACCACTTTATAATGCCTTGGTAAGGCCACACTTGGAATACGGAATTCAGTTTTGGTCACCACGATGTAGAAAAGATGTGGAGACTCTAGAAAGAGTGCAGAGAAGAGCAACAAAGATGATTAGAGCATTGGAGACTAAAACATATGAAGAACAGTTGCAGGAACTGGGTATGTCTAGTTTAATAGAAAGAAGGACCAGGGGAGACATGATAGCAGCCTTCCGATATCTCAGTGGTTGCCCCAAAGAAGGGGGAGTCAAACTATTCTCTAAGTCACCTGAGTGTAGGAAAAGAAACAAT